TAAGAGCGAAGCGTCGCGTGCATCGTCGGTACGGTACGAAGAATGGAAGAACGAACGCTAACCCGCCTGGCTTTGGAGTGCATGTGACAGCGGCAGCAAGTGCACTAGAGGCGACCAGCACGCGGGCACTCCTATAGTTAGGTGGAGTACTAAAGGGATAGGGTACGCACACAGTGAAAGCAGTTTTGCCCGTGCGGGCAACCTGCTCCAACCTGCCACAAGAATGAACATATGATAATAATGTAAGTGTTCACAGTGAAAACCGGTACGAATAGGCTTCTGTATTCTATGGTTTCAGGCGCCAGCCTGAGCAGGTAACCAGCACGCTGGCAACCTGCTTTCACAGTTTCACTGTGTGCGTACCCATACGTATTAGGCTGCTTGTTGCTGCCAGAACATAAGCTCAGGTTAGAGAACAAAAGCAAATATTGATCTTGATTTAAATGAAAATAGGTTTACCAACTTTTGCTAACACACCTGTGGTTAGGTTCGGAGAACGTAAAGTTACTTAAAGCGTGCACTCCACGACTCCAGTATAATTTATGTCCTACGTCCGAAGATCAATGCTAGCACAACTCCAGTGATCATGAGTTTTGTGGTGAATGGTGATCGTAAGCTACGTGATGATCACAAAGAAACTTACCAGTCAAATATTGACAGATTAATAACTTAAAAATATAAATATTGTAAATTATATGCCTATATGGTCAATTGGCTGAAACATTAACAACGTTGCATTAAAAGGACTTCCTTCTAGTACCGTAAAACGGGGACCGTTTTGACATTTATAAAAAGAAAGAAAACCCTATACTCAAAAAGTTCTTGCTTTAGGAAAATTGTGTTGTACCATGATAGGTATAACCTACAACTGCAATAAGTAGATTTATATATTTACTACATACGACCATTTGTATCACAAAAAGGTAAGCGCTGAAACTGGTCCAAGTCACCCCGTTATACGGTATCTTACCGGAGTATTTATAAAGAAAATTGTGAAGCTTTAGTCCACTTCAAAGACATTAGCCAAATTCAAACTATTCAAGGAACTATATTGACTTGAAAACATCACAATTCGGCGTATCAGCGACAGCAGCCTTGACTGTTCGTAGTTTAGTTCGTAACTGGCGTTACGAACTATTTTCGTATTCTATCATTTACAGCTAAAATTTTATTAGGAGATCGCTGCATGTGAACGTAGCCAGCATGCCGTGCGATCAGTTCGTTGTTTCGCTGCCTGATCATGCATTCATAGTTCATACTTTATATGTATAGCACTGGCATAACATTTTAACCATCTACCGCCGTACATCACTCTCCGGGAACATAACAGTCAACTTAAATTACACGTAAACTATTGAGAGTAGCAACCTGTGGACGTTTGTACGCAACCGAGAACATTTTTAAGTTGTCGTACGTGGCAACAACCATCACTCCATCAGTGCAAGTCATTTTCCCCTTACTAGAACGTATCCTTTTTGGGAAGTAGTCGCGTGAAAATATTGCTCCGGTTACTCACGTCAGCCTGTCGTCAGGCGGTAGAGAGTTAAATAGAAAAACTATTTAACTGCTAAATTCCCCGTTGATACAGCTATATTAGAATTGTAATGCTTCATTCATAAACTGAAGGCGCAAAACTCTATATATAAATATAGTCTATACCGGTAGTCCATTGGAAGAAATTGATCCAGAAGAATAATGGAGGGCCAATAATAATGGACGAACACGGAACATCTAACAGCAGAATCTGCTGCTGCTGCTCACTAACGGTAACGTACTTAAATGTCAGAAATGAATATCAAGATCTCACCTCTATGTTTGATAATCCGCCCTAGAAATATAAGAAAGATTACAATTTAACCTTTGATTCTCGGCAGAAAATTGCAACCCCTCTCCGCCTCTCCAGGGACGCATATAAAAAGTTAGGAAGCAGGTGACTAAAATTGAACGTTTCATCTAATTCCCGGATGATTGCAAACTTAGTAAACAAAAAAAAAAAACACATTATTACCAGTGTGTTCTGATGTATACATTATTTCGTAAAAAAAAGTCTCATTTCAAGTTCTTCTCCACTCCGGAGCCGAGATTTACATCCACATTCACATTAATTTGAATCATTTTGGCGGCATCTAAAGAGGTTCTTCGGAACAGCGTCGTGAACTGAAAATTTAGAAACACACTGAGAGAAATAAAACACCCAGCGTTTCGTATCAAGACTTTTCTGAGTTATTCACGCAATCTTATCCCAGAAACTGTCAATGGGTGACTTCAACTGATAGAATAACATACGAATCAGTTATCTGCGGCTAAATTACGGTCAAGACCCAGGAACGGGATCAACACGCACCATCCCTCACGACTGTTAGTTTGCTTCTGACCGAAAATCCGCGGAAAACGTGCGAATTGCGCGATTTCTTCCGTCCCGAGACGACGCTGATCAGAAAGCAGATGAGCATTTTCGAGGTCGCGTCCTTCCTAGGTCAAAGTCACAGCGCACTTGTTACATGAGACGTTCTCCGTAAAGAAGGAAGTTTGGCTCGAGGGCATCCGCTTCTATTCTTTACCGAGAAAACCTTGGATGGGATAAGCGACTAGGGCGAACCTTCTGAACATGCTCACATACCGGCCATACCCCGCCATTTTTTTCCGTTCCTGGGTCTTTATAAGTTCAATAATGAAGGTTTTATTGGTTTCCATTTGCCAACGCACAATGCAATAAAATTTTTAAGAAGAAATAATGAACACTGAAGTTTATAGATGATTTATTTCTTCGTATAGTGCAATATTCGAGATGATTAAGAAAAATTGCATTGCAAAAATGAAGCATGGGCTAATTTTTCGAACTTTGTTAAGAGAATAAGGCATATTTATTCGCTAGTTTGAATTTATTAGTTTTTTTTAATTGCAAAAAGTAAACATTTCTTGCCAATAAATAAATAACCTGCGTTGAAAATTAAGAATTATTCTAATAATTGCAGATTAGGTTAGATTATCACTTATTTTTATCGTTTTTACTTTACGTTTTATGTCATACTTTACACATCGCTATGGCTTCAGCTTCTGAACAAAAATTGGCATGTCCAAGTAGAGAATGATTAACGACGTCAGTTTTCAAGAACTTCACACGCAATTTTTTTCGCTGAATAACATGAATGCAAATCTAAAAAAAATTTAGCTTGAACAATATTTTTCAATAAGTACTTAGCCTTTCCTCGCCATCTGTAGAGTTCAAGATAATTTCAGTATTGAAGTAAAACAGCCTTGCAGTGCAGGGTCGCTTGTGCGCGTGTGGTTACAAAATATTGGTTGCAAGTTCCGTAGACTTGAAATGCATAAACACTAAAATTTTTCTCAAATTGTAGCGCGCCCGAACTTAAATTTCACTTATTTTCATTTACTTTACTTACTTATTTTCATTTAAGGGTTTATTTTCATTTACTTTACTTATTTACTATTTACTAGGAGGACATTCTAGATGGCTGATTTTATTGGCCATTTTGAATTTCAAATACCTTAATTTATTTGATGCCTTTGAAAAAAAAAAAAAATTTCTCTACATTATGTATCAAAGTTCGAATTAATCGGCAGACGTGTTAAGAGCCAAAAACTACAAACTTATTCAAAATCAATATTATTTCTATCCTGAAAGAAAATCAGAAAAATATTATTTTAAAACCCGAACCAGGTAAGGCCGTTAATAGATCGTAAAACACAATAAATATTACAGTTTTGATAGGAAAAATAAGAGAAGTTCATGGACCACGATTGTATTACACACTGGATATACATGGTATGGGTACACATATTATACAAACACGCATTAATCAATTCATTCTAATTCATCCTTCAACAGTAAACATCAGTCATGAAATTGACGTCGAGCTCTACCCACGTTTCTGAAATATCAACTCAGAATTTCACTTTGTTCCTGTTAGTTTTCACGGTGCGATTTCTGTACACCATACTTTCAAAACTCTCTAAGTGAACGTAAGTACTTACGCTCTATTTTCTTGTCTATGATTGGTGACTTTTGCTTGAAAGGCCGTCAATGATTGGCGGATGAACTTACGATCTCTTAACTTTTTTTGAAAGTATAGGCCCAGCTGTACATAGTTACGGATATTACAGTGTTAGCTGGAGAGCATGGCAGTACGACTGTACAGCAGCACTTGATGACTTTGCGACTGTACATAGGTTACGTTTGACCTTCGCGCGTATTTCGGCTGTAGCGGGCAACGGTTATAGCTAAAAAATATGTTTTAAAATTGGTCGTCAAACGAAAAATGGCTTGACATTAGCACGTAATTACTGTGAAGAAATGATATTGTGACAGAATTCTCAACTGTTAAAAAAAAATATTATCGACAAATTACATATTCTGTGCACAAGGCTGGTGTGCAATCGGTAAATAATGTTAAATATTTGGTTAAATATATTTGGTTAAATAAAATTTAACCAAATATAAATTTGGTTAAATATTTTTTTTAACCTCTGCTTGAAAATCATTTATGCATCAACAAAAAAATCATAAGCAAAACAAACGAAGCGCAAATTTAGTGCGATTTCCTCGATGTCATGAGCCAGGTTGCAAGTATTGTTTTATTTGTTTATGATGATAAATATATGCCTTCAAAAAGTTGAATTTTGAATAATATAGTAAATATACAGTTACATTGAGGTGAAACAAGTTCTTCTTCCTATATTGATTTATGCCAAGATGGTCTAGCTGCCATAAAGTAATCGTCGCAGAAGTAATTAACAAAATAAATTAATGAAAAATTCCCATCAACTTCTCTTTATTAGACCAAAGAATCCGTACGCCAAAGGACACCAAAACAATATTTGTTCAGGCCGAGACATGAAATACTTTTCGAAGTGTTAATATTAATATAATATTATTATATTAATAATAATATTAATATATTATTATTATTAATATAATATATAATATTTTCCAAGTTAAATATACCTTGCCCTAGCGTAGGATTCACGTCAAATTAATGTATCATTCAAGGATATACTAAAGTTTATTCAGTATCATCGTTAGCGTGTGTCACGCAGATATAAGAGGCATCACAGACCGCAACACAATTAATAAAATACAAAAGAGAATATCAAAGTAGAAAATAAGAACACAAAATACAAGTTTAGTATCACAAACAGCCAAGAGAATACGTCTTCCGGCTGGTATAGAATCAATTGCCTATATTAGCCATAGGCTCGCTGTAAAAATTCTTACCCTGCACAAAATATTCTAGTACATCAATGGTTATATGCATGTTATACAAAGACATCGATATTGACTCCTAGCGGACAGGTTTCATACACAAAAATTTCAATGAAAATTTAGTCAAAAAAATCACAAAATCTCAAATTCCATTTCCTGCCGCAAATAGGGTTATTCTTTAAAAACGAAATTGCCTAAAATTTACATTTAAAAGTAAGCTTGAATATCTAAAGAGATCGAGATAAAATTCGAAAGAATCATTATCAAAACAATCACTTTATTGCTGCATTGAAATCAAAAACGTTTTTTGTACACGTGGAAAGAGGATAGACATCGAAGACAACTTCGTCGATCGCTGGTGAAGTCTTTAAGTGAACACATCAGAAATTTGCCGCACTGAACTGCTTTAAAAAACACCAGCATCAGCAAGATTCATGGAAAAAGAAAACCCTAATCGTGGCCGAATTATTCCCGTGAAGAAATTAATGAGGAAAACCAATGAACAGAAAGTTGATGAGGTTAATGAGTTGTTCCCAACAGGTTACAGTTCTGACATCCGGTTATTGTGGTTCTTAGGGCGATAGTCGAGATTACGACTATCTAACACTATCTAACCCCATGGCGGTATAAAAGTTAATTACGATGCACATCGAAACCTAATCATCCTAGTATGCTTTGACTTAAACTATCTGGTCAACAATGATATTTTGTGGTCTCTTTTAGTGCACGTTTGACGTGCTTACAGAGTTGCGTTTCTTTTGCAACGCGATTCCATGACTAATATTCCAGAGTCAGTTTCGGACTTGCAGGTCCGCTCCACGAATGATGTAAATGTAGATCAATTTCTGTATAATTAATTTTCCATTCATCCCAATGAATTTATTCGAAAAAAATTGACGACATACAATAAATATGTGGCATTAATCATGAAAAGGGAATTAATAAACAGATTCTTGGAAATAAGAAACATTATCATGATTATAACGATTATCGTGGCTAGTGTTCTAAGACCACGATGTAGGAATGCTTTAAAGTTTCTGATTGCTTGGTTGATGTACGATAATGAACATTATTAAATCAGCCTAATGATATGTAAGTTTGCCAAAAACTAGTGGTTTCAAATTCTGTCGAACATGCAAACTTGTCTAACAATAATTCAAAGAACCAAAAAAAAAAAAACGAAGAAGAATCTTCCAAAATAGCTGCAGAGATAAATAAAGGACAAAAGGTAGTTTATTACTAAGAGCAGAGTAGCGTCAGAAGTGATCCAAGACTGAGAGAAAATTGATAACTATTATGATGCAGCGCGCGCCTGCTACCTCATAACTGCGCGCACGATGAATGTATGCGATGAAGTCTGAAGTGGATGCAAGGTCTACAGATGGCAGCCGTATTTGGAAACCCAAAGGGAGATCAGCTCCACATGGACGTTAGATAACTTCAAGTAAGCTTCAAAATTTACAACACGGAAATAAAATTAGGTTTGCTGATGGATTTACGACATCACAATTGCTTTTGAGTATTGGAGCCATGACACTACGAGTATTGACTTAAGTCTACGGAAGACCTGTTTCTCGGGAGGGCAATCGGGACAAAGGATGCGTCTTTCCCTGCTCCTTCCGACGCCTCATCTCCGTGCTACACGCCTGAGGGCGGCCTTTAGGACTAGAAGAGGGTCCTGAACCTCCCATGAGGCTGGTGGAGAAGCCTGAACTCCCCTTGGGGCCGGAGGTGAGACCTGAGCCCATCTCAGCCATGAGACCGCTCTTACTCAACATAGGACTGCTCTTGCTGCCAGTCAGGGAATAACCAGAAGCTGATCTGGTTCTATTATCCCCTACGTTTGCATTTCCACGTAAAAAAATATGATTTTTGTTCTCATTCCTTCTGAAAGAACAAGAACCGAATGACTGCAGAGGCTTAGGACACCCGGGAGGAAGCTTGGGGGATGGCGGTCCACATCCCAGTTTGTTGTTGCTCCCCTGCAGAAAGTTGCTAGATGGGCTGGAGCTCAGGCCGCGACCGAAGAAATGATTGCCGTCCCCGCTGCTTCCTTCCCTTGAATTTCGAAGCCCTGCTCCCACAGTGGGGGGCTTCAACGGACTGCGGGGAGGCTGGGATGAGGAGCGAACGCTTATGTCCAGACTCGACTTCCGTTGCGGTACAGGAGGTAAATATTTTTCTCCCGCGCTGTCCGCCCGCGGTCTAATTTTATCATTGTTATTAATGTAGAAATTGTTATTTATATTATTGGACGCGTCACCATCTTTTATGGGCTTAATACGCCGTGTAGTTAATTTACTTTCGGCGGAAAAATTTGGGTTTTCGTAAATTCCGACAAGACTTTTAACGGAAATTTCATCTGTTGACTCTTGCGAACTTTCAGACGCGTCTTTCTCGAGTTTCCGAGCCTGAGCAAGTGCCTGTTCTACGATCTGATCGAGAGGAGAGTCTGGGGAGGAGGGAGGAGGAGGGGACTTCGTAGATGTGGGGGAAGTGCTTAGTCTCTCGAGGCTGAGGGAGCGCTGTCTCAAAGTGGACATCTTGCAATCCCGAACTTCACCTGCCGGACTCCTATTAATCTTGAGCGAGTCCAGTTCCTGCCCTGCGCTGATCTCCTCGAGATCTTGGGTGAGTTTCTTGACACGTCCAACATGTCGCCGATTCTCGAACTTAGCCCGTTTTTCCGACAAGCTGCGGTTGATTTTCAAGCCTTTCTTGAGCGGAGACTCCGCTGACCCACAAGCCCCGACGCTACACGAGCTCAGCAAGTTCGTCTGTGGGCAAGACTCGTTACTAGGCTCGTCTGGACATCGCTCTAGCTCCTTGTTGTTATCGTTGGCGTCGTGCAGTTTACTTTCTAGTCGTTGTCGCTGTTGACGGACTGTTCCTGGCACGAGAACATTGTTCAGAGATGACGTTTGTTTGCTGATGTTGCCTCTACTGTCGTCAGCGCCGGGCAAGTCAATGGATCGCAGGGCAAGAAGAGACTCCGATGGAGGTGAAGGCGAACTTCCGGAACCATGGTCATCTACTGCTTGGCCTCGAATTCCAGTTAAAGGTTCGACTCCTATATCAGAGTTATTTGCTGACGAAGCGGTCGTAGTGTCACAATGAGATCGCGATCGAGATAACTCTGAGGGCTTCAGTCTGATATCAATGCTATTGCGGAACACTCCAGGCGTTTTGAAGTGACCAAGTGAACTGGAGGATTGCACCGACATCATTTCAAGCGGAGTATTTTCAGGGGAAATTTCTGAATCTAATTCAGTTTCAGTTGCAGCGCGAAACATTTTCGATGGAGGTGGTAGGTGGATTGTAGAATTCTTGCTTAAACTGTCATCAAGTGCATCGGAACTAACTTGAGACTCCCAGTCACGTGAAGTGCTAGTTTCTTTGGTGGATGGTGACAGAACAGGTTTCGCGTAACCGGCTGCGCAGTTAAGCTGATCAGAGCTGTAAGAGGAGACGATGCCTACATCAACTCTGTGACTGGCCGATCCTCCGAAGCTACATATGCGGCTTAATGATGTCGGGGTCTCTTGAGATACTCGACCATCGTTGCGATTATAACGAGTTCTTGGACTCTGACTAGAATATGAGTGATTAGAGACTACGCCTTCACCGATAACTTTGTCATCTGGAGGTCTGCGTGTGGAATCGAACTTTCCCATGGAGTTGTTCCTAGAGGGATAGGCGCCCGTAACTCTGGTGTCACATGATCCCCACGAGCTCTGGCGCGAAGGCAGGTATCGTTCCTTGTTCTCTAGCACCACGGCGCTGTCGAAGCTACCCCACGAATTATTTCTAGAAGGAGAACAGCGGTCTACCTCCCCGCTCGCCCCAGAATTTTTCTCCTCGTGCGCAAAAACTCTGTCAACATCATTCGAGAAAGGATCGCAGGTTCGAGAACGAACTCGAGAATCTTTCAATGACTTTGACCGGACGATGAGATGAGCGTCCATTACCTCGTCCGTGCACGACTCGTCTTCAGTGCCATCCAAGGAGATGTAGTTGAGGGTGTTTAGACTGGTTGAAGGCTTCATGCCAGCCATGTCACCGTCATGAATGCTAGTACTAGAAATGAACCCTCTCATGCTGTCACTTGATTTAGTCATTTCTTCAAAGTCCTGCTTTTGTCGCTTGACTTTACCGCTCTTCCAAGTGATGGACTCATTGGGCACAATAACACAAGGATGACGGTTCTCTTGGGACAATCCCCACTTAGAGCTTGACCTCATGTCTTGTTCGTGGGGAAGCAGCACGGTATCAGAACCTCCAGTTTGGGGCAGTAGTCGGCTAGTGCTTGGCACAGGCCGCTGGTTGCGGTGGGCAGTTTGCGTGATATTCGCCCGTCGTTTCATCATTTGAGCAGCTTTTATCTTCACCGTGAGTGGGTCGTAGGGTACCACCTCCTCGGTGGCCGAAAGAGGGATCTCCACCACATCGCTGCTCTGCAAGTCATCACAAGATGCCGAGGCGTTAAAGGTGAGTAAGGGTGCCGGACTTGACGTACTACTGTAGTATGGTGAAAGGTTCTTATTAACTTCACCATCAAGCGATGATTTTAAATGAGCAGCAGGTGACTCTCTTGTTGACGTGGAAATCGTAGGTGCCGTGTCTACGTCGGTGGCTTTTCCACTCACAGTTTCAAATTCCGTGATTCGGTCCTTGACGGAGGAGGAAAGTTGTAGGTACTGGGGGAGCTGCCCCCTCACTGACCCCCCCTGGGCAAGGTACAGGGGGCTCAGGCCCTCTACGCTGCCTCCAGTGGACGCCGACCGCATCACAGGAGGCGAATCTATACAATCACCATCTGAAACAAACGCCGGAATTAGCTAAAAAAATTACAAAGCACACGCATACATTATGAAATAAATTATTACACATGAGCAGACCAAGAGTAAAAACTATCTGCGAGATAGTTGTTGGACTTTGTGCAGGTTATGATAATAGTGTACCTGGTATGGATATTGTGCCTAAAGGACGAAAATAGTTTACCGATGCTGTTAGTTGTAATTGCTCGAATTTGAAGGCGGTTTTATAAATCTAGGTACCGGTATCATAGTAACTCAGAATGGTCACGAACTTGATTGGCAATGCGGTCACGGGAAGACAGCAGGCAGTGTTACACCGTACCTATGTGCTCCCAAGCCCTGTTTTTCATAATTACCATTCAACAATTACTTAGTACGTGCCTTCCAGTTTTTTACAATACCTTTTCAAGAAACGACTACTTGCAGAATAGTTCTTATACGGGTAAAATCTTTTTCAAAGTTTAAGGGTCTGGAATATTTGCTTTGCAGACCAGCATTGTACAGACTGTAGTGCGGCAGGTCTGACCTGCATTGAAGGGTCTGTAGCGCTGCAGGTCTGACCTGCATTTAAGGGTCTGATCGCGACGTCCAGACTGGACGTAACTTCCCAGACATCGGCTGCAGGTCTGACCTGCATTGAAGGGTCTGTAGCGCTGCAGGTCTGACCTGCATTTAAGGGTCTGTAGCGCTGCAGGTCTGACCTGCATTGAAGGGTCTGTAGCGCTGCAGGTCTGATGGCGTCCGCAGGTCTAGGGAGCCACTACGCCGCCTGCCGCGTCCCCCACAGCCGCCTTCCTCCCCACTGCTGCTCCCCACGCCGTCTGCACAAAACACATCCATGAGCACAAAAAATCAACACACATCAAAGAATAAAGAAAATATAACTCAGTACTCACTGCAGTGAGTGACAGAGAGCGCATTTTCTCGTCGACGAAAATGTGAAGTCACAGACGGAAACAGACAGACAGACGGACGGACGGACATGACGATCACAATAGCACCTTTTTTCCATAAATGAGAAAATACGGTAAAATCATGTATTGACTCAAAATTGTTAGAGAGGAAAAATATCGTTAACCACAAGATTAACCTTGAAGTAACTGAATAGCTAATATGAAATAAATAAATATAACCAATAGTCCAATATCCTAACTACATTACACTCAAAAGGCTATACTGTATAACTGATGAATCAGGATAAATTAAAGAAATGAATCAGGCGTAAGAGAACACATATAATCTCGTATTGCTGTTAATGGAAGTGAAATTATGAAATGTAAATATGAAATGTGAAATGTAAGTAAAATGTATGAATGTAAATATGGCAATGTAAAAATGTAAATGTAAATATGGCAATGAAGGAACGAAACTGCCTCTTCAGTTATCTGCAAATCAAAATAATGGCAATTGCGATGTCAATAAATCAATTAAAAAAACAGGAGTGGCAGCAATTAACTGGAAAGTCGCCAATTTCGACAGCTTATCAATTAGAAGTTTATACTCAAATTAAATCAAAATAACTGTGAAGAATTACTAGTTAAACTAACAAAATTACTTGGACTGCTAACATTTAATATGATTAAAATGAAATATAGTTATCACAAAATATTAAAAGTACAAATCAAATTGTCGAGGAAATTTACCGGCACAAGGCGTGGAGGGGAAGAGGTGGGAGGTGATCCTGTCATCGGGGGACCAGGACTTGGGGCGCCGTCCCCCAATGGGGGGAAGGCTCTCTCTTGAGTCTCCTTCGCTCCCCTCAAAGTAAGACATCCCCCCATCCCCATCCTGACCCCCCAGCCGGGGATACTTGTCATTCTGCTGCACGTAGTCCAGGTACTTGCTGGAGGCGAACGAAACAGGGTCTGAGGTGGGGACTGATGAGTGGACTGTGCTGGGGTCTGCAGAGTGCACTGTGTCACGGTCTGCATATGACACTGCGCCGTGGTCTGAAGAGTGGACTGGGTCACGGTCTGCATATGACACTGCGCCGTGGTCTGCAGAGAGGACTGTGTCACGGTCTGCATATGGCACTGCGCCGTGGTCTGTACCAAGGTCCGCGTCAGGAAATGTACATGATAACGCACAAGGGTCTGCATAACTGTACAGATGTGACGAGCTGCTCTGCGAGTGCTGTAGACCCTGGCAGACCTCTTCATTATACATAAATTTTCTTACGTAAGACTCCACTCCCTCCACTCTGTTATCTAGCACAGAGTTCTCCGCGGGTGGAGATCGATCTCTAAAATGTGAACTGAATCCCACAGACGGAGGAAGAATGGATGAATGTTCTTCTCCCACACTTGGGGAATTGATCCCACGTCCAGGGGTCGGGGAAGACACAAGATCCCACACTGGGGGAACAAACTTGGGGATGTTTAGACCAGCACTAGAGTGGGAGAGCCCGGCGACGGTCTTTTCAGAATCGCTTATTCTGGGTTGACAAGACCCGATTGGTTGACTTCGTCGTCCTGTTGCCCGCTTCTGGAGCCGCTCTTTGTGGGTGAGACGTTTGGGGGAAGAGGGGGAGACCCCGTCCCTGGGGGAGGTAGGGGGCTGTTGAAGGTTGGTTTCACTATGACTTCGCCACAAGGCGTTGTGCCGCTGCCGACTGGCGTCCAGGATTCCCTGTAAACAAAAGCCAACGTCAAACATCGATATCAAATTATAATAGAGAAATTGAAGAACAAAATATTTCTGACCCATTCTCCTCCAATAATTATAATTAATGTAAAAAGCAAAGTGAATTCAAACATATTACACACGCATACATTATACATACATGCATACTTTTCCTCACCCTACATGTACTGAGGGTTAGCTTCACTCAATAGCACAGAGGACTAGCCTCAGCTCATAAGTATAAAAGGTTAGCTTCACCTCAAAACTACAGACTGCCTGGCCTTATAAGAACAGACTGCCTGGCCATCCAAGTACAGAAAAATGTTAGCCTCACCTCATAAGTATAATGAGTTAGCTTCACCTCAAAAGTACTGACTGCCTGGCCTTATAGGAACAGACAGCCTCGCCTTCCAAGTACAGAAAAATGTTAGCCTCACCTTACAAGTACAGAGGACTAGCCTCACCTTGTAAGTACCGACTGTTAGCCTCACCTTGTACTGACCACCAAGTACTGACTGTTAGCCTCACCTTACAATTACAGAGGACTAGCCTCACCTTGTAAGTACCTGTCTCTTATACACATCTAGATGTGTATAAGAGACAGCATCCATACAACCCACAGCTTCATCCACACAACCCACAGCTTCATCCACACAACCCACAGCTTCATCCACACAACCCCTTGGAGACATCAATTGCAGTAAAGATCTCGTAGGAAAATGCTTTAAAAGTAAATAAATTATTTTCCTTCTTTTCCTCCATTGTGAGAGTTCCCAGAGACTAATTATGACACACAAAACCGGAACATCCAGCCAGATCCTGCATCATCACTGCATCGACATCAATTCTAAGCACGCTTCATCAAATACTAACAGAAAACCAATCCTAAAATAACCTGGACGCCATTTTTAAGATACACTTTCATCAATAACTACATTTTTATTTAATGATGAAGAGAAATCAGGTTTAAAATGCAAAGAATTTAATTTGTGTTGAGGTAGAATATACATTATACAGTATACATTATACAATATTCATTATAGAGTATATATTATACAGTATACTTCACTATTATCATGTTCTATGGGGGCCGTTTAATGAAGGTACAGAAATTCCAAAGTAATGAAGTGAATCGAGTGTGCCGACATTGGCGGCGCTAACGGCTAGAATGTTCAGACTCGTCGAAAGTAAAGGCATTAGCACCAGACTGTGCACCCATTCATGCGACACTTGTACGAAAAAAACTGGCGCTCTTCATGGAATGTCGACGATCGAGGCAACATAACTTGCACACCTGTAGCTCATGCATATATACGCTCAAACAGGCAAAAATTGAGGCGAATTCGCTGATCACATGGCATACGCACAAACAGGCATAAATTGAGGCGATTTTTTTGAACACGAGACCGATTTTTTAACAGAAGTTTCGAGTTCAGCGATCGAAGCTTTGGAATTCACGTTCCACTCATTCGAACGGGTAATAATTTAAATCAATACGTGCATTGCACGCTAAAGCAAATTCTTCTTCGATGTGGGGATCTGTAAGATTCTCTGCAGCGTTGAACAGTAGTTCTCTTTTTTATGGCATCTTTCATACCTCTTTAATATACAGCTGTTAATTAATTGTTCATATAGTTAAGGCGGAATGGGCTTTCAAAATATAAAATGCCACAAAAAGCTACAAATGCATACAGTATTGGCCCCAATATTTTCTGATCCTCAATATCTTAACTGTTAACCGTAAATTTCTCAATGATATTTTATCATATTTAATGCAATCTACCCAAACGTCCATGGATGTGTCATGGAATAGATTAACTCGTGCAAAGCAATTAGCTTCCTTACACCGTATGCGACTGATCGACAAACATTTATACAATAATATTTTCGGGAGAACTAATACAACAGTGAACTTGCACTTGATTCTTTCGCCATTTCTGGGAAGTGATTCTTGAATTTATTACTTAACACCAATCCGTGGAAAACTCGAGGACCATTTTTAGCGCATTTTCTCATTTATGGAAAAAATGCACTATTGTGCTCGCCATGTCCGTCCGTCTGTCTGTCTGTCCGTCCGTGACCTCATGTTTTCGTCGACGAGAAAATGCGCTCTCTGTCCCTCAACTGCAGTGAGTACTGAGTTATATTTTTCCTCCCATGCGGGCACCCCACTTCGTCATACAACTCGCTTTAGTCTAAAGATTTTGTCGCCGTTGAATGTAGATGTAAACACAGTTATCTGTATGCTTATAACGACGTTTAGCAGCCTGCAAGACTTGGAAATCACCGCTCACTTGACAACTTTGTGTTCAAGTTAACTTAACACCAAATTCTAAATCTAGTACTATCTCCCGACGCTTGCGGAATGTAAATGGCGAGGATAAAAACAGCCGTTGAGTACTAAAAAAAGTTTGTGGATTAGCAACGTCTTTTTCTATTGCAAAATCAAGACAAGCACTCAGACAAATAAAAATAAAAACTAAATGTAAATAAAATATTATTTATATACATAGTGACACTTCCATTGCGTCTATCCACACTTCCATTGCGTCTAAGAGCAGTGAGCTTAGGTAGCAGTAATACACCATTTGTAAGGCCGAACTGGGTCAAGGTAACTCACGCAAGAACTAAAATTGCATCGCTATTTGTACAAAATCTCATTCATTCCTTTACGTGATAATAAAAAAGCCGATTTTGTGCGCTAGGCTCGTGTTTTTTAGAAGAATTAAATCATGACGCTAATTTTCTCTTCCAATGATCTCGGACCTTCAAAGTAAAGTTCAGCCGATATCTCGGCTACACCAACAGCCCACCACAGTAACACTCATTTGCGACAGGTGGAATATGTTTACTTAGCTCTTTCCGCCTTTCCTTACTTCGCATTCAAAAAACGGACCCAGTGAAAACTTACAGACGCGGCAGCTTCTGATTTGGGTTACCAGAAGCTGGGGCGACTCTAAATTTTGTTACCGCAGTGAAATTTTACAGACGCGGCAGCTTCTGATTTGGGTTACCAGAAGCTGGGGCGACTCTAAATTTTGTTAGGAGATCGAGTTACAGCATTCGCACTCTTATTACCTAATTTATACTGCTTACACTGCAAATATTTCAAAATGCTCACACCTCACATATTCAATAATGGCAACACGACATATATGAAAAGGGTAATTGTTACTCTGAACTTGCTCCGTATATATCACATCACGCAGGGCTGATGTAAACATGGCGCTCAGCTGCACAGCATCACAAAAAGGCGCCTTCATATAACTACTTCTTCTTAAATTGCCACGGCAATTACAGCGAAAGACGGTACTTATTTCTGACCACTAGCCTTGGATAGCGACTCCCAAGAACCAGAGTTACACAGTGAAAATTTACAGACGCGGCAGCTTCTGATTTAGAATACCAGAAGCTGGGGCGACTCTAAATTTTGTTAGGGATACTCTCAACTAAAAGGACCGCTTCGCATATCTTCATTAGGTAACGTCATAACGAAATTATTGAAATACAGGACGCATTTCCCATAAAACTTTGAATTACTTTTACGTAACTCTTCCGAAGTTCTTTAAAAAAAATCAAGTGCTCTCTGAACGCCTTTAAATAATATTACGCAATTTTTTTCATGAATGAGTTTCGCTTCGATTGTTGCCGATGTCGGGTAAATCGAACAATTAAGTACTAATATAGGTGAATAATTGTTTGATATTATGCAGCAATACGAAGCAAGCACAATGCCATAATAGCAGCTCCTGTCCTACTAATCGAATATGTAGGTAAAAAAACATGCTGCTAGGTAAAAAGTTTTTGGCCACCTTACGAAGAGCTCATGCAGGGCTAAATTCGTTTAATTGATTTTACTAAAAGACAATAAATATGTTTCGAGTGATAATTTCGACATTGTTACACTTGAAGCAGGAGTCCGAGACTCTCCCTCAAGATTTCAATTTTTTATGCTTAACTCTATCAGATCATGACCAGCTGAATAAATCGTATATAAATCCCAAAACTTGCTAAAATTAGTGACCATCAGCTGCTGAAATGAAGACGAGTTTTAGCTAACAAACACATATTTGATGGGATAAACCGTCTTGACTTCCGCCTCAGATCAAGCGAAAAAGCGTCATGTAGATCAAACGAAAAACCATCTCGCATCGAAAAATACCCCGAGTACTCACATTATAGCAATGAACGAGCGCTAGGAGGCTACAAATAACGTCAGAAGTATCTTCAATTCTTCATATCGCCTTTTACATCACACTCTTTCAAACTCTCTAAGTCCGTGTCGCCAGCCGACCAAAATTGTGGATAAAATCGAAAGTACTCGAGGGCGCACTGGCGAGAGCTAAAATCACACACAACAGCCCACCATGAACTGCGGCAACTCACTGACCTCGCGGTGATGTTGCATGCTTCTTTAATGTCGGCGCCAACCCGCACGTGCTTAGCCTGCGTATACCGCCGCGATCTCGTGGCACGAGTGCAAGCTTAGAGCTGCACTGTTAGAAAAATTACCGTTAACGGTATTACCGGCGTTTCAGTGGCCGGTCGGCACGTGAAAAGAAACACCGTGTCGCCGTTTTTATTCTAATTTAACACTAGAAATCCGTAAAACATCTGATAAAAACGGCGGTATAGTTTAGTTTCACGGGGCGACCGGCCACTAGAACGCCAGTGGGACCGTTTTTTCACAGTTATTTCTAACAGTGTAGAAAGTGCGTGCGTACTTACAAATTTCATTATATTATTGTTCTATTGAGAGTAATTTCGCCTATGTCGCCTGTGAAGCTTTTTAGCTTATATAAGCATTCGCAAGGAAGCAATTTGTATTTTTTCTTCAAATTTTTATGGTCTCTTGTTATGTATATTATTGTGTGCTCCTCTGTGAATAAAGAAATAATAAATTAGAAGCGGCCGTCTTTAAACCGACCGAAGCCCACAATCAGCGATAAATTTCTAACATGGTTTACTTGCCAGAAAAAGAAGAAAGGTATTCGAATTTAAAGAATGAACTTCGTGAATGCTGATGCGTAGCAGGCCAGAGGAAATCAAGCAGAATTTACGTATCCACATTATCTTTTACGTATTCAACGGAATGTGAGAGTTGACAACAAACGCACACACTCTGCTTGTTTACCATGCGATGGTTAACACATATTACGATGTTTGCTTGTTTACATCATGTGTCGGAATATTACAAGTAATATCTCTGCAGTTTACCTCAAAGGCCGAACAACGCAGCTTGAAGTAAGTCACCTGATCTAAACTATCACCAATAAAATGTTGGGTGGCAAAGCTCACAGTCGCACATACAAATAAGTAAGCGACGCATCCAGTAAGACCGATCCTCGGACGTATATGGCTGGCCACCGATGCTGCACCGATAATATTTATGAGAAAACTAATCCCATTTGAAGGTGAATAAGCTTCACAAGTTTCCATTCATGTGGATGCACAAGTGCAGGGTATATATATACATTGGGAAATATTTAATACTAATTCAGCTGAGTCCGACGAGAAATTTAGTCGTTATGAATAATACATCGCGGAAAGAGGAAAGTAAATTAAAGTTTCACAATATCTTGATCTACTTATAAAACTTTTCGCTAATTAGAATGTCGCAGTGAATTATTACAGTGAATAATAACTTCGAGACTTAAGACAGCTCGGCCACTATCGTTAAGATGCTTGGACACGGGGACAGTAAGGACGGTCACTACAACTTACAAATGCTTACAGCCACGACTTACCGAGCTATTGTCTCATGTTTATGAGCTTCAGAAAACTGAAGCACTAAATAACTTTCTACATAAAACCAATAGCATGACATTATTGGCAGTTTTGTAAGCGGCACTGGCCGCCACTACTGTCCCCGTGTACAAGCACAAGCGCAGGACGAGGGCAAGCTGTCCCCTCAGATGGCGCGGTCGACAAACCCTCACTCGTGCCAGCTGCGTGTACTGCTCAAGTTCCTGCGTCACGCGTACTCTATGTGCGTGCTAACCAGCTAATTCTGTCAACGTGCTGATTATATCGCTAGTAAGTTATCATAATTTAGGGAACGAATGAGAAGAAAAGTCATAATTTAGGGAACTAATGATAAGATAAGTTATCATAATTTAGGGAACGACGAATGATAGCTTATCATAATTTAGGGAACGATTGAAAAGAAGTTATCATAATTTAGGGAACGAATGAGAAGAGAAGTTATCATAATTTAGGGAACGAATGAGAAGAGAAGTTATCATAATTTAGGGAACGAATGAGAAGAGAAGTTATCATAATTTAGGGAACGAATGAGAAGAAGTTATCACAATTTAGGGAATGAATGATAAGATAAGTTATCATAATTTCGGAAACGATTTTCGATAAGATCGAGCTCCACGGGGAGTATTCAGCTGAGCATGTATACATATATAACTATAGCACTCTAATTTGTTGTAGCTAGCGGTACAAATTAGAGTGTATATAGTTAGTGCTGGGACGACCTGAGAGAGGAGGGAGAAGAGAGAATGAGAGAAAGGAGAGAAAGAGAAGAGAGAGAAAACAGAGAGAGAGAGAGGAGAAAAGGAGGACGGAAGAGCAGTCAAGAGAAGGACGGACAAAGCGAAAGGTGATGTGGGAAAGGAAGTGAGGAATGGGCTGCGAATGATAAACAATGGAATAACAATTGAGCGAAAATTAGTGAAAAGGAATACAGTGTAGTGATTTCCATTCTAGATAGCGGCAATACTCTGGCTTAGTGAGAGGGAAGGAACGGCACAAAGAAGTGATTGCAAAAAAATAATTCAAGGAAAATAAAGAGAAATAATTGATTTACACAAGAAGATGATGATTGAGAAGGAATGAGGTTAATTACTTATTGAAACATAATAAAGGAAACCATGAGTGAAAAGCAATGAAAAAATAGAACGATTCATAACGAATCAATGAAGAGTACGGTGGAACTGACAGAGACGAGAATGAGAGGCAGAGATAAGGACGAAGAGAGACATTATAATAGTAGAGAAGAGGCAGTGGGAGTGTGGGTAATGACATGAGCACTGCTAAGTACTCACTGCACACCGCGCTGCAGTGTGCAGTGAAAAAAAGGTAAACATCAGCGGCACAACCCACTGCACTCAAGCTGGGGTCACTGCTCTATACAGTCTACACACTGCATCATACACATCGCTCTACGCACATAGCTCTCCATACACACGGCATCGGTCCACACACTTCGCTCTCCACAGCCACCGCATCTGTTCACATATCACATCGGCCTCCTCACACTGCATCTGTCACTTCGCACTGCATCTGTACACACATCGGCCTCCTCACACTGCATCGGTCACTTCGCACTGCATCTGTACACACGTCGGTCTCCTCACACTGCATCAGTCCACATACCGCACAATATCGGTCTTCACACACCAAATCGGTCTCTTCAAACCGCCTTGGTCCACACACACCGCATCGACACACGCCGCATTAGTCCCCACACAACAACAGTCCCCACACCGCATCTATCCCCGCATCACATCGCAAAGCTCTGGTAGTTCCGTAGATGTTTGTAGAAACATATGGCAGTGAATGAAAAGAAGTTAGCAAATATCTCACACTATAATAGCAACTTAGGGACGCCAAGCTATTGAGACAATCTTACATCATTCAGTACTCATGCGCACGCGCGGTCAAGCGTTAGCTATGGAAAACCTTCACAGTGGTGAACACGCAGGACTCCAAGGCTCTAGTCGTCACGCGCAGCGATAAAGACGCTATACTGTCCTCTCAAGACGCTATTCTGTCCTCTCAAGACGCTACACTGTCCTCTCAAGACGCTATACTGTCCTCTCAAGACGCTATACTGTCCTCTCAAGACGCTACACTGTCCTCTCAAGACGCTACACTGTCCTCTCAAGACGCTATACTGTCCTCTCAAGACGCTATAC